TGCTCAACGCCTTCTGGCAGCCGAGGATGTAGCAGTACGACAACGGCGGGCGAATATCGAAAAAACGATTAAGATATCAATCAGCAACGAAATCGCGACCCTCTATTCAAGGAGAAGGCAGACACTGCGATGCTATGATAGCACGTCAGACACGATTCCGCGGGAAAGACTCAGAAAGCGGGAGCTTACAGTAGGAAAATGCAACATACTCTAACTCAGAAACAAATAGCAGCAGCCAATTGGCCGCAAGTCAACTCGACATACACTCGCCAACGAAGCTCCAACGTTCTGGAATTCTAGACTTTTCCGGGTGTAAGCTATTCTACTCGGGTATTGATGTCACGTCACGAGCTCAGGCCGGTGAACTGGTAGAACCCAAACTGTATTACAGAATCAGTGAATCGAAGCCTGTCATCGCAAGGCTGACAATCCTCTAACTGGCTACAACAGGGTATGTGAATTTGCATCACGTCTACCTGCAAAAATTTGAAGCTGAAATATTAGTCATTACTTAAGGAACTGGAATGAGCATGAAGGAACTGCCGACAGTGTAATCCCTCAATCCTTAAAATGGGCGATTTAAAAGCGCAAGTCGGAGCAGACACTGAAAAGCAGAAAGGAACTATTGGGCAGAAAAGAACTATTGGGCAGAATGGCCCCTCCCACCTCAACAATAACGACATGAAGTGGCTGCGGTGTAGTGCAAACAACGGGCTGTTCATCATGAATACTTCATTCGAAAATCGAAGTGAGCAACAACACACTTAGTACATGATCGATTTGACAATCACATCGTCTGACTTACAACGTTGTGTAACGTATGTTTGCAGTAAGAAAGGCGCAGAGCTCTAAACCGATCACCTCCATGTTGTTTACATGCTACGCTATACGAAATGGAGTATATTGTGAAGATCTGCTGGCAGAAGCAACCAGGGAATCAGATCGGATCTACTGTGAATAGGCGGGCGAAACTACACATAACATCGCACCAAGGTTTGACCACTGATGTGGAAACCGAGTGACAACTCTTTAATCTTTGAATGGTAACGTGTCGGGAAAAGTGGCAATCCTCTGAATCTACAAAAGGATAAAGCGTTGACTTTGTTACAGGTCTATACGCCAAATTTACACGTAGAATATGAGATTTTCCTTGAGGAAGTGCCGTGTGCTGTCCACTATGAACAACTTCCACCAGCATCGAAGAGTCCATCAGTACACCTGGTACCGAGAAGCTTGTGCACAGAAGTCGATGATCCATTTCATAATCGAACCGTCTGACCTAAGACGCTCACAAATGGATGTTCGTGTTAAAAGAGGCGCAGAGCTATCAACCGATTATCACCTTGTTGTTCGCACGCTGCGCTGTAAGAAATGGAGTCCATACGAAGATCTGGTGGCAAAAGCAACCGGAGAATCAAATGAGAAACATTATCATCGATGGACACGAGAGCGAAATTTATAAACAACATCGCACGACGGTTTAAACAAATCCCAGCGATGACAACTGATGTGGAAACCGAGTGGCAGCTCTTTAAGAGCGGCATACTCCAGACTGCCGCAGAATGCTGCGGATATAAACGGGTTGGCCTGCCGCCTGGAAGTCAGAGAAAAAGATCTTCATGGTGGACACGAGAGCACAACTGGCGGTTAAAGAGAAGAAAGCAGCGTTCAAGAAATGGCGTGGAAGCAAAAGTCCTTCCATTTGCATGCGAATTCGTCGAAGTACGGGCAACAATCTCGTGCAACAGTCCATGGGCATGTCTGCAAGCATATGGGATCAATGGTCAGTTCCTACTGACCATTCAATCACTATATTCTGATAGCATGCGAGGAAACAGCGCTAATTCGAGATCTTTCAGCGTTGGCAGTGGTCTCCGTCAAAGCTGCGTTTTGTCTCCTTTCCTGATTGTGTTGTACATGGATAGAGTAGACTGGAGCTGCCAAGACGATGAGTGCATCAGTGTAGGAGATGTGAAGACGAGAAGGTTGCTGTTTGCAGACGACCTTGTTTTATTAGCTTCTTCTGAAACTGATCATCAGTACTCCCTATAAAGGCTCGCAGCCAACTGCGACGTAACTGTTATGGGTGTAAGCGCATCTAAAACGAAAAGTCGAGTGCTTTATCGTTCTTCTGCCCGTTGCTCTCTTCAGATTAAAGGACAAGCAGTGGAGCAAATGGAGAAGTCCAAGTACCTCGGAGTTGTATTTACTGATGATGGAAAATTTGAGGAATAGATCGACCGGCGGATTGGGGTAGCCAGTGGGTTCCTGCGTGAACTAGTCCGGACCACTGTTGCTAAAGCAGAGCTGAGTTTGAAGACTAAGCTCTCGATGTTGAAATCGATGTTCATTCCCATGCTCGTTTAAGGTGATGAGTCTCTAGCATGAGTGAAAAACTTCCATTTCGGGTACAAGCGACTGATATGGGACTTCTGAGACGATTCGGTGGCCTTGCGCACGTCGACGTGATCAGTACTGCAGAAATCTGAGATGGCCTTGTGTATAGCCGCTGCTTCTTCATTCTGAGAAGTCACAGCTGCGATGGTTTGGTCAGTTGTTGGGAACGCCTCCGGAAAGGAAGGAGAAACAAATGGCAAAAAGCTAGTTCCTCAGCCGAAGGGCAGAAGACCGTGGGCGGCCAAGATTATACTAGAGAGAGTATATCGAAGGAGTCTGTTCCAGACTCCAGTTGTTTCTGCCAAAGCTCTGACGCTGGTAGAGGATGGAAAACGTTAAAGCACTGACACGTTTGCCTCCGCTACTTGAAAATGGGAAAAGTCATGGAAAGTGAGGAAGTGAAGAAGTGGAAAGGTAACAGAAAATCGTTTATAAGATGATGTCGTACATTAAATTACAGACAGGAGTCAGACAGACGCTTGAAATTATGCTTGAAAACACGTTTTCAGAGAATAAAATGACATAAGCAAATGCTATAAAATTATTTTGGTCAATAAAAAGAGTTGAGTTGCATGCCAATAGTAGATTTGAAACCTTGAATCTTATTTTCCTATAAGATGCATCGTCTGCAACATGAACTTAACTGACAGAATATGTATTAAGAATATATTTTCCTTATCACGGACTACAGACAGCTTAAAATAAGGCAGCTAACCAGAAGAATAATTATCAGAAGTATGTAGTGTGAGAGAGCAGGAAGCCATGGAACATTCAATCAGTCTTGGGCATAATTTTTGGATCCGTTATGTTGCTAGCTTCGTCTAAAATTTCTGAGTGGCTGGTGTGCTCTGGATGAAAATACTGCCACACGTATCGAATATAACTCCTTTAAATTTGTGAACAGTGCCAGAATTTGCTTTGGAAGCGTTTTTAATTCACACTTCGTTATTCTTCTGCAGTATTTTGGACAAGCCTCAGAAGACATTTTAGGTATTTCTGACAGAGGTACGAGTATGAAAAAAGAAACATATGCCTGGATTATTTCATAAAAACTTAAGATCATAGCTTGGAAACTCCGTCGAATTTAGTAAATCAAGGAATCAGGACAGCGAGCAGACCGTCCCGTTCTATAACCATTGCTCTGTTTAGACCATTTCTAAAAACATATTTAGAAAATTTAAATCAATCACGAGAAAGTACAAACGCTGGCATCGTCGAAAAGGAACCCAAAAAAACACTAACATATATTAAGAAGCTGCGCTGTTTACCAAATATCCTGCCATAATAGTCCTCCTCGAAACACTGTAACGAAGCTTAAATCAAAAACGTGCCTAAAGGAATCTGTAGGCGTTTAACCGACGACATGAGTCGCTTTCAACACCTGTGCATGTTATACAGAATCTTCATTAGATACATGCTAACAGCCCGCGGGTTTCAGGCACAGACAATAACAGATCAAGGACCAAATTATTGTTTCCTGCATCACGAAATTTTAATGTTAGTTTCTTCAGCATCTGGATACGCCTTAAAATATCTGAATGGCGATTAATTTAAAAATAAATATTTAATATAGAACCTGCTAATGACTTTTGTTATCTACTATAAACATGATTGTTGCCACTGTTAGGCCTGCTGAAGAGTGACATTCGTCCGTCGAAACTGTCGTTGTACTAGTACAAAATTATGGTAAATAGCCAAAGAATGTAACCTATAGTTACATCGATTACAGAAGAAGTCTTGTCGAGAGACCTTTCTGCATTTAAATCA